GTGCTTTTTCAAATGTCATATAATGAGGATTGTTACACCGTTCAAAGGCGATACCGTTGAAAGATGAGACTGTCATACCGTTCAACTGGAGCGTAACGAACAGTTCGATAACAGCTTAACAACTACCTTCACATGCTCAATGAGTTGCTGAACAACGTTGAAGACGAAAAAATCCGATAGATTCACATAAGTGGCACATTTGCAGAGATTCACAGCTGCATGACATGCGTACTGCAGCTGACTCGTCCAAACCGGCCTTGTACCAGAACCACACGACTGCACACAACTTACGACACTATCCACAAATTGACGCTGTAAACAGTATTGAAATGAATTCTGCATCATTCTGTTCGCTGTGCTCCATCTGAATCAATCGCATTTGTTTTGACTCATTTCTTCGACACAAACAAATTTCCTCAAAATGCATCATCACAAATTATTACGGCTGAATTGGATTCATAAGAACGGATGGAATGCTTAAAATGAAATTGATTACCTTGATGACAACTGCTTGAGGAAGGTTCACTAGATCTGAATCTGCGTGAGCCATCGCTTCCAATGAACACTGAAAACTGGTCAAATTAACGGAGAATGTGAGAATATGCGTTTCCTTTTGATGTCAACGTCTCTTGTGCAAAAAATTCGAAAGGTAGGTACATAATTACAAACTGCAGTATGTCAAAGCATAATTACAATGAACAGCAGTATCTCTAGATCATACTTCTCCCGTATCTGGTTCACCGATCAGAAACAGTCAAATAAAACAAATTCAGTCAAATAGCAATCAAATACAACAAATTCATTCGGAAAAATTCTGTGGATAATTAATAAACTGCAAAACTATAGTGATTCAACTGAAAATGGGTTTGAAGTAACAGACCGGCGAGACGGCAATGAGTAACATCTGTACGGGCCAGCAATGTCCACGACGACGTAATTCGGCCGTATTCATGTTCATAAATAAACCATCACAAACATCTGCATGACAACATACGCTTACGAACATTCAAGTGAAACAAAAAATACAATGACAAAACCGAAATCAAACAATAATGACCGGATAATTGATGTTGTGATGAGTGTTGTAAAGCTGAGAACTGATCTGGACAACGCTCGATCCATCTCCACAGTACAGCAGATATCATATTACAGACATTCTCAACGAATTCTTTTCGTGGTGGCCAATGTTGGTTGACCTTAAATTAGCCAAAAAATTCATATCAGTTTGGAAGTTTTCACTGGTAACAACTCAATTGAATTCCACAAAGAATTGCTGTGTTCAGTAGAGATATTTCACTTGAAAGTAATTTTCACACAGAAGTTCTAAAGTTTGCGCGATATCATGATTATGTCAGGAGAGTGCTCAGACAACGACAAATGAACAATACTTTGTGCTCTCTGATAAAGTATCACGCGAGTTATCCTAACAACTCAGATATTCTCGGTTGGATATTTGCGATCTGAGATTATCCCGCTATTAAGTGAGCTCGAGCCCATCGTGATTGTGCTTTGAAGGCAAGCAAAGTGCATCAATGGAATTATAAGAACGCTATCGGTACCTGAGTGAGGATTTTGATGATACAATCGAGTTCAAAGGGAACAAAACCGATCAGTGCAAGTTGCGATAACGCTAGATCAGACTGCTCCTCGGAAGTGGTGTCTTCAGTGTGCAGTGCATCCAACGCTCTCTCCAATCTGCTCAACATCAGCGATGGATGTAACGCACCCACTCGTCCCACCACCAGTGCAGCCTTATCAGCAACACTTCCACGATTTCCAATCAATCCACTCATCTCCTCCAAAACGTTCTTCATGCAACATTCTCGTTCAACGCTTCGACCTGATGGACTCTAAATGAGAACATTCCAATTGATAGCTTTCTCGTGTTTGAATAATACTTTGAGCACTATTCTCACATCGTTCAGTTTCCTTTGTGAATCAAGCAATATTCAGAAACTGACATGATACGCATGGAGGAGTTGATGAACAAGATCTATAACAAATAACTGAACAAAACTACATCAGTTCCACGCTTCTAGGATTCATTTGTTGAAGGCTTTAAGAGTAGACTTAAAATGATTCAAATATTCCAAGTTCCGAGAAAATTTTCACGATTTAATCAAACAACATTTTGGTTTTAATGGACTATTTCAACAAACCTCAGCTTCAGAAAGGCATTCAAAAAGCGTTTCGAGAACGACAAGACGTGACTGCACAAGCGCTGCTTCTGATGTCCAACGCTGAATTAATTGAATATTTTCGAAATGCAAACAAATACTGGTCCTCAAACTGCACTGACTGTATTCAACTATTTCAAGTTATTTCAGGTTCGCACGTGCGATTACAACTCATCCAATGGATCGCCTAATTTGATAACCATTTGATCGATGGAAATGATCATTTAATGGATAGCAGTTTCGTATGCTGGATTCGATACGTCTACTGTCAACGGCAAATTTGAGCGAATTTATCACAATTTCTGCGATTTATTGTTTTCAGAGAATTTAGAATTCAAATGAAATCCTTATTTTCTAAACCGAAAACGTGAAAATTGATCGTCACTGCATACACTGGCATTGACGGCTTTGAGTACTCGAACGAGTGCTTGTAGAACAAGATGTAAATGATGCTTCGAGACGTTTATGATGCAACTGTGCGACGTATTCAACAATTGTCTTCCTTCACTATCCATCTGCCGACCCGTTCGGGTTGGCAACTGAAAATTCCTTATCAATACAAGCATTCAAAAAGGCAATACAAACAACACTAAAACACTTGGGTAATTTCTCTCATATTACATTTGCAATCAACTGCATTCAGTTTTTCAACTCACACGATTCTGTGAACTAAGCTCATTAGGAATTTCTTTCATCCACAGAGTATTGTGGCAATTATCAAGTAATTTGAAGACTGCACGGCGGTGAGTTTCATTACTTATTTTTGATATTTTTTCCTCATGGAAATCCCTTCCTCTCATCCCGTACGCCCTCACTAAATCATTATTCATCATGACTGATATTTTTTCTCTCATACGATGAGTAAACCATTTACGAGATCATGCTTATAGTTGTCGCTCCATGCAGTGTAATTAGATATGTCCCTTTATGTAAGCTCATTAGTGATTCGTTCATCAATTTTGCGTGAGGGATTGAAAATCAACTGATTGGACTGATCAATTCATGCTGACTGATCACCTGATCTTGATATCGTTGTATTAGCGAGGATATCCATTCGGCTGGCTTTTGCTTCGGGAATTGAGCGGACATCGACGACGACAGCGGTCTTGTGAATGCAACGCTCATTGTGGCATTAATTCACTCAGNGTTAAAGTACTTACTTTCATCCGATTCACGTCCGAATATATGTATCCAATAGCTATTTGATTTTTTATCTGAGATGCTCTGAAATTAATGAAGTCGAACAGTAGAGCTCATTTAACACTGAGAATGACAGGTAACGGGAAATCGATTAAGATATTGTTGTTGCTTGTTGAGCGAGTGGAACGAATACGTAACGCCAGATAACAGAGAAACGTATGAATAAACGAACGGATTAAAAGACGTTTTCATATGGACTAGTGAGCATAGAACAATGTGATCGCCTCGAATGAGGACAAGCGATATGTCAAACAATCAAAAATCCAATTTTAACAAGCATGAGATTCTAAGCGAGCATGCGTTGATAATGCGATTGCTCAACAGCGCAATGAATTCTGAAAAAAAGGACACGGAATTTCTATTTAAAACCTATCGAATTCATCGGAAACACATCGAAATCCTCTTCGACTAGACGGCATCAAACCCAAAAACGCCCGCTTCACACAGCAAATTGTGCAGGCTCATCGATACTGCAATGGATGAAAACAGAACGTGGATCCATTTCGTTACTTTGATGAGAATAATGACGATACATTAACGATGTTTCTGAGTGAACGGCACGCAAAACCCGAATGTAAATCGAGAAGGATTCTTGGAAAACGAAGTGTGTTCCAATGAACCNCTGCAATGGATGAAAACAGAACGTGGATCCATTTCGTTACTTTGATGAGAATAATGACGATACATTAACCACGTTTCTGAGTGAACAGCACGCAAAACCCGAATGCAAATCGAGAAGGATTCTTGGAAAACGAAGTGTGTTCCAATGAACCAAATAAATGATAATTTCATGTGTCGATAGGTTTGTGACGAAGATTTGAAGATGAAATGAATATATGCTCAGCAAATAATGAGTTGAATAACTCGAATAGATAGAGGTGGTGCTGATATGCATAAATGTATGGATAAAAGATATAGAGCCAAGTGCGGATATGGCAGAGTTGAGATCAGCGAAATAATGAGATACGGCGAGCCACTGAAAGACGGACGAGACTGGCAGAAGAAGCCTGTTGAGCACAAGTTAAGAGATGAAAAGCTGAGACAAATGATGAGTGTTAGTGTGGTTTCGATTTAGTTGATGTACTTGTCCATTTGCAAGAGGAGTGAGTATACACACAGAATAACTAATATCCACTGCACACAAACACCTCTATGTGGTGAATTTTGCCGATGGCATTTGCAATTACTTTCAGCAAAAATTTTGGAATTTCTTTTGTGAGAAACAATCGCAAACATCGTGAATTCGTCGTCGCAATAGCAAATCGACGAATCAGTTTCCTTAGCACGGAGCTGGAAATACATTGTAACATTACACCAAGCATGACAAATAGATATCGGCAAGCACTTGCAAAGGTCACCTGCGTAGGTCATTCCCGGATTTGATTGAAGTGAGGGCATCAGTTCGAAATTTTTCTTATGAGCGACTCAACTGCCACCTCACATTTCGGAGAGCATTTTGTCCGAAGTTGTATTTGCCAATTTTGCGATGCAATTATTCAGAACTCTGTGCTCTACTCAACTTCTAACTGCTGAATCAGTATGTAAAGCACGATAGCTTTTCTGCGAATTCTCAGAAATCGATACGTTTCTCATCACATCAACGCAGTCGCATCATCCCTCTGTCGATATTGCATCCATGAAAAAAGCATTCATTCGTCGAATCCAATAATCACATTCTCTTCAATTATTACAATCTAACGATTTTGTTAGAGAATGAGTCTTTACGAATCATGTACATCGACATTAACTATTGTCTTGTATAAGCATCGTGTTCTAATGCTTTCTCACTGAATGCTCAATTGAAAGCATGGGAAGATGGAAACTTCGAGGAATTCAATGAACTAATTTTAAGAGAGCTTATAAAGCTGCGGCATGATTACGGAAGAATATTTAAGTGACATGATTACGGGAGAATATTTAAGTATTCACAGTTTGCTTACAAACTCATTACGCTCAACAAATATTTGGTTTTCTTCACGTTGAACTGGTAATACTTCTGAATTGCACAATATGTCAAATGTTTCTATAATGTGAATTAAGCAGAAAAATATCACATTATTCTTGTGTTGCTACGATTCTTTTGAGAATATTAAACATTCAGTATTCACGCTTCTTTCGTATGGTTAAATGCTTATGCATGACAGAAAAGATGAAAGTTTCATTGAAAGGCCGTTAGGAAGAGCACTGCAAACATTTTATTCATTTACATACTGTGCATGCATGCTTGTTTGAATATCAGGGCATGACATCGACATTCCTTTACATTTTGCTGTTTTTATTTATTAGCACAATATTTGCATTTTATAGTTGAACTTCTTTAAGTTCTCTCTGCCAATCCCACATTTTTGTTTCTTTGCAACAAAAACAAGGCATTATATTCGCCGGTTCATATATACTATTGGACTCTTAACTGGAGTCTTATGTGTATAAATTGAATGTACCAATAAAGATGGAACAAAGTGAAAATCAGCCACATTCTCGTCCTCTACTCTGCGTCGTTATTCAGCTTGACTGAAAGGATGGGGGACATGGATGTCGTATTGTAACAATTTGAAAATTTCACCATAAAATTAATTTTGCAATCCAAACAAATTCCTTCATTTCACGGCAGAAAGTGAAACTGTGTGTTAAATAATGTGCGTCTTGTAGCATATTCATTGCCTCAAGCACATGTAGCTCACGATCAGATGCATGTCAGGATCACTTTTTAATTTCATTTATCGCTGTTTCTTCAAAGATTAATCAGAGCTCGAGCGTAAAATATCTCCGCACCATTCCAGCAACCTGAAAAGAACACCTCATACCCTCATCCTTCCGAAACTTTGCCAACGTCAACCAACACATTGCGGCAATCTGCCACAGTGCCCTACGTGTATACACATTTCCAAGGTTAGTTACTTGAATTGAGTTGAGTTGCGAATCAAGTTTTATTTGGTGCGTCGTTATCTCTGTCTTTATTGTTCTCATTATCGTCGTCAATCGTTTTTTATCTCTACGTTGGATTGCTCAATCTAATTGATTCAGCGTTCTAGATGGTTTGATTTCAGATGAACTCTGAGAAAGACGATGACGATTTTTTTGGGATTGAGTATGTCTCAAGTTCGCCCATTCCACGACACCTCAGTGATAAGTCAAATGTGAAAGCGGCAAATCAGCAAAAGGTGTCAGGCATTGACTTCATCGATTCACAATATTTCGGTGAACTGGCCTCGTCAGAAGATTCATCTCAACCACAGCAGTCGATATCAGTCGACAGTTCAAACATTATCGATGAGCAGTACTTCAAGTATACGCCTTCCGGATCGTCAACTACCGAGTAAGTGGAATATACCCTTTGGAAATTTACATTCAGGAATACTGACATTGATTGTATCGGATCGTTGAAGTGTTTATCGTCATGGTTCCGCTGTCTTCCTCACGTTAAGAGTCAACGATTATTAGATCCAGGAGAGTAACATCATGTTTCCACTGTGCTTTTAAGATACCAGAACAGTAAAGCAACATGAGCAAATCCGTTTTATGTTTGATTTGTACATACTGCACCATAAAATTGACGAATCATTGAATTTACGAATTTCAAAAATTGGTATTGCTAATAATATAGTGCCTCTTATTACAAAAATGATCCTAACATCCTTTTCACCGAGAGTGGATTGTATTTTTGATCAGTCACTAATCGTCAGCTAGTGCGCCGAGAACGAAGCTGCTGATAAGCGGTCTGCAAAGCCGATAAGTAATCTGCAAAGTTTAGGCATCCACCGGCAACCAAGAACATGCAGAATATAGCCCATAGTCAGGAGAAGGCGACGGTGATGGATTATGAAGATATGGATTACATCTCACAACAGCTCATCACTGGATATCAACCGAAACAGTCGGTATCTGGTCGTCACAGTAGGCACCGGTCAAATGAACTTGCTGAGCAAAGCGATGAAAGCCGATCGCCATCAAGTCGTGAGAATGCATCGCAGAAAGTGGAAAAGCAACCAAGAGCTTCCAAAAACGTCGCACCCCGTGTGATAATTTCAGAGGTTCTGTTTNAGTTGAAATGGAGATTTTTTTGAAGTTTAACTTGTTTTCCTCACGCAATATTAGACGATTTTATAACATACAGGCTAATCAAGCCTTGCTTCTTTCAATCTAACATTTAGATCATTTCATTGAACAGTAATAGTTTAATTGATTATGGCAGGTGTACATGCTAGTGGCAATTTCTAACTGACAATATTTTCGAATTAAGTTGGATGATTGTTTCCAAATGGAGAAAAATAATGCGAAATAGCATAGTGCCGCCAAATTGAATTTACCGGTTTTCAGCCGAAGATGTCACTGGAAGAAGATAGAAGTGGATTAGATAAGATTTTGTGTATGCTTGATCCAGTATGGAAAATGAATGATCAACAACTGGTCGAACTGATGTGTGAGCGGGTTGTTTATGAGGATGGTCAGTGATGTATTCGTTTTGAGTTTTCGTTGAAGTTCGAAATGCATCAATTTGCAGTATTTTGATCATTTTTTGGAAAGTTTTCTCGGAAACTGTGTCCAAACTCGAGAATTGACATGAATCAATTCTCGAATCATCACTACAGAAGCAGATTTGATTCGTTCCTGAAATATCCCACATCAAACGCTATTCAAGTCTTTCCTCGATGGAATTAATTGCATCTGATGTGTGTTTTCGTTGACTCGAAATCGAAGATTCTTTACGTACCGTTGCTATCAACCGTCACTTTTATGTGCTGGAACGAATGCAATGCAACTGACGATAATCACGTGAATGACATTTCGTCGGAATTGGATACGCGAAACTTATTGGGTGATCCCAATTCCTTAACGACAAGGGATTACTGTTTTGAAATTTGATATTTTCAGAGGAGCTGTTGGCATTCGATAAGCCCTCTCAGATGGCTTATTCGGGTGCTAAAAAGAATCAAGCTCAACTGGACCGTTTATTGCAAGATCTCAAAGCTTCTATTGCACCAAACGTTGAACGTCTCCATCTCATTCGATCGTTGGACAAGGATCTTAGTGGAGTGATATTGTTCGCAAAGTATCACCTTTTTCTGCTCATTCTTAACGTTGTTTTCTTCAACCGCTCTTGAGCTCATCTTCGATTGAATATCTCTCAGTATGCCACACAAACCAAATAGGTGGCGGCTATTTTTGAAGCGTGTGGATCTCCCATAATTTCTTTTTATGTTTTCGCTTTTCCGAGCTTTTCGAAATATGGTGCGCGTTTTGTAATGATAATATCAATAATTTAGAAATGAGTCGGTACAAAAGAAAATTGTCGAACAATACAAAGAAGGCTTAGTGGAACAGCGTTATCGAGCAATTGTTCGGGGTGTGCCGGAGGAAGCCGAAGCGACCATCAATATACCACTCGTCAAGAGATTGAACCAGCAAGATTTCTATGTAAGCAATTTTCACTTCTCGATTAATGTGCAGTTTCGTTAATGCAACAGTAAATGCTTTCGTCCACCATACTATAGCTATGTCCGCTGTTTGCACGAAAGACTAAACATGAGATGTGGATGTGTATATGTGTATTTAAAAGTTTGCTCAACTGTTTCATAGTTTCAAATTGGCATAATATTTAGGTGCGACCGTACAGGACTGGTAAGGGCAAGATTCAGCCATTAATTGCTCTAACTGATTATCGAGTCATGCAAGATAACGGAGAGTGTTCATCTATTGAATGTATTGTTAGGAATGGTAGGTATCATCAATGTTTCATAGTATATTATTATTCGATTCATCATGTACTGTCATTGTGCCTTCGAAAATAAGGAATAAGTATTCTTCGGTCTACAAGGCGCACTTAAAATCCTTTAATTTTCTCAAAAAGCGACAGTGCGCCCTATAACGAGATCTGTTCTTTGAATTTTTTTTGAAGTTATGATTTTTCCCGTTTTCAGATGTACCGCACCAGATTCGTTCTCACCTTGGTTACGGCCTGAAATGTCCAATTATTGGTGACTGTAAATATAGTGGAAAAAAGCATTCAGAGCCTCCGAAGTTACCGGCTAGAACAATGCAACGCTTGCAAATAACGGGTAGGTGCATGATTTTTAGTTCAATTGACTTTATCTTATTTGTTTTCGTATGTGGATGATTTCCTGCATAGCAGAAGAATAATTTCTTTGATTTGTCAATAATCATAATGCGCTTGTTCGAATGTTAGTGAGGTAGCCGTTGTTAGTGTACTAAATCATATATTATCTGACAAACGCCTGCTTTATGACCGCTAATTTACAATCGAGTTGAAGTGAATTGTCTGATTATTCAAATAAGTATAAGGTAAATTGTATTGATGAATTCAGGTAATCAGTATAGACGCCTGCCGATGTATCTTCATCTCAGTGAAGTGTCCATACCGTTACACGCAAACGGTTCTCGTACGATAAACATTCGAGCGGCACTCCCAAATTTTTTCCTTCATACACTCCGAAAGCTTCGACTTATAAAGTTGAAGTAAATCTGGGTGATTTTAGATTGAATTCTTTTATTCCTTTAATATAATTTCCCCCTGTGTGTATTTCGCATGTTTGTGTGCCTTGAAGTTGAATAAAACCGAGGCATTGTTAGGCACCTGAATGGCTGAATTTTACTTCAGCCAGTTGAGTTATTTATTGACGAACATACGTAACCCGGTAATGTTGTTGATCTTAGTCAGTTGAATTCTGAATTATTTTCGTTCTTTGCAATTTTAGAGTGTTTATCGAAATTTTATTTTTATACTGTTTGAATTGTTTTATTTGTTTTCATGCGGTGTAAGCTTGTTGATATCGGTTTGCTCAATTTTCTATTCAAATAGACATAGTCCCATTATCTCATCATAAATGTTTTACCTCCTCATTACG